GCTAACAGAAAAAAGGATTTTGTCATAGAGCCGCTTTTAAGCCTACACGGTGAATAATAAAATAAGGTTTAAATGTTAAGCAATAATTGAAATGTTTTTAGATACAGAAAGATTTTTTGGATGTTCTTGAGAAGTTTCGACAATATCTTTTCATCATCATGGCTCAACTTGTATTGCCTTCCAGTGGACGTAGACAGGACCTGTAGATTTTGAATGACTTGTTCATCTGGTAACCAGCAAGTGACTTCTCTCTCTGGCCAAAAATATGACCTTGCGGGACATTTAGGATGGAGAAATCTAACCTTCACTTCACTGTCACCTTTATTTGTTTCTTCAATGAAGCCAACCCAGTATTGGAGATCATATTTACAAATTCAAAAAAAGTTAATTGAAGTTGAAACCTTTCTGAAGCCAAAATTTATAAGAAAATCGAATTTTGATGAAAATTCTTTATCTGAGGATGTTAGCTTTGTTCCAATGCATGTCTTGGACAAAGGAAAAATATGATGATATGACCTTGTTCCAGGTACAGTTTTAGCCATTTAAAATCTTGGTTTCAATTCTTGTTGAACTACATCTGAATTCTCCTTTTCCACAAATAAAAACTTTATCCCATTAACCTCACTTTGGCAGAAATGAAACAGTTGATTTGCTGTTAAAATTTGGTTATCATATGCTCTTTGCAAGCTTGCTCTTGTTGCAATTCTTTTAACTGTGCCACCCAGTCCATCGCAAGCTGACTTGCCATGACTTGTTGCAAAGAATGACCAACAGCATGTGGGACCAAAATCTGAATAGTGATGGCAAATATTTACAAAATTTTTGCAGTTCTTGTACTGAGCTGCACAACCGTCTGAAAAGTATTCAATTCTATTAAAGTTTGTTTTTTGTGCTTTTATGTATTTGACTGTTTCTTGAATTATAAAATACACCAGGCCAACATCATGATCTAGATCATCAGAGATAAAACACAAGGATTCTGATACCAAATCTTGATTTTCTTTGGTGTAAAGAACAACGGGGTGAAATGTGCATTGTGATTTATTCCAATGGAATCCTTGTACTTCGTCTTGAACAATAAATTGATAGTTTTCAGCAAAATCAAGAATAGCAATTACTTCATCTTCTTTCAAATTTGTTTTTCTTTCCTTTAGATATTCAGCCTGTTTTTTTGCAATGAAGGAATGCTTTGTGATGTTATCAAGCTTTTCCACAAGTAAATCATAAAAATCATCAACAGTAGCTGTCTGCTTAATCATTTCAGTTTTGTCAGTACTGCACCATTGATTAAAAATTATTTGCTCCTCTTCAGAAAAATCATCTCTTTGCAATCCAGCTACCTGCTCACTGTCCTTATCTGTCTCTGCTTCACACATCATGGTGTCACTGTTGTAACTGTCTTCTTCGAATTCTCCTTTTAATGTTCTTATCAGGTAATCTTTTAAACATCTTGTTCCTGGACAATTAACACACTGATGTATCATACACTCTCTGTTGTTTCTGTTGCACACAATCATTTCAATAAGTTCATGATAAGATTGTTCCAAATCTACTGCCTTCAGTAGCAGCTTTACATTCTGATGAATTGAACAAACACAGACTGAGTGAGCACCTGAAGACCCAACTGTGACACACCACTTGGGTCTCAACATGCAGAACTTGGAGAACCCTATCTTTACCTCTGGAAACTTAGTTTTAAAGACAGCATAAAGTTCATTCAGATTCATCATGATCAGTCTTTTTTGTCGATGTACCCCTCGTGCAATGCTAACTTTCCTACAACAATGTAATCTTTCTTTCCTGGCATCTGCCGACTAAACCAAGATTGACCAAGATTTTGGTGTCAGGGTTAAAATTTTTATTATTTCTTTTCGAGATGAGGCCCTTATCTTCTCTTTCATTAGAAAAAGCAAGACATCAAAATCTTGTGCTTTCTGTTCATTTTCGGTTAGTGTCTTTTCCTCCTCTGAACTTAGATCCAATTCTCTAGGCTCGACATCTATCGCCTTTGCCATTGTAATTTGCAGATCCAGCTGTTTTTGTCTGAATCTAGATTGAACCTGAGCTATCTTTCTCTTTCCGTGGGCAACTCTTGAATGAGATGCGACAGCGTGTAATTTTAAAGGGCTGATGTCTTCTTCAATTAGAGATGAATTCAAGATCTCTCTGTTTCTGTCACCATCTAAATTTGCTTCAAAGTCAAGTAACTCTTCATCCGAATGTGGCAGAGCTTCTTCATGTTCATTAATCAATGTTTCATTAATATCTTTACCGCAGCTGGGACAAATTTTCTTGCCTGGAACAATTGATATTTTCCTCTCTTTGAGTTTTTTTGCCATCTCTAAAGTGACCTCACGCAATGACCCTTTTCCTTTATGGCTGTCTTTTTCCAAAGGGTTGCAGCATTTTTTTTGCCCAAGGTGGAACTTGTTGAGCAGCTTTTGTTCATGGTGTAGACATATGTTATGACCTGTTATATTTTCAACAAAATTCGTTCGTAAGATAAGAGTCTCCTTTGAAATATCATCAAGAGTATCAATTTATTTTAAACCTTTCAACTTGATTAATGTAAGCTTATGACAGGGGTCCTTCAGATGATACCCAATTGAGCAGGTTTCCTTTGAAGCTTCCATTTAATTCAATATGCAGTGTTAAAACTGGCCAAAATTTACCATAGTTTGCTGTTTCCACTTCTCAGAATCTGATTTATGACTTAGCAAGCATGGGTTTTATAGTTTCAGGCAGCTAAATTTAGGTATAATTACATCATAACACATGACACCTTCAGATCTGAAACTAAACTTGGCCATTGCATCATTTCCATATAAATTCTAGCAAAATGTGACAAATTCATGCCCTGACTTGCCTCTCAGCTTGCTTCTCATCAATAGCTGTCAACAATCCATTCATCCTATGGGTATGACATCATACCCTATTTCCTCTTGTAAATAATCTGCCTAGCAACAATGTTTACATAAAACAGGGCACACTTTTACAATACTTGTAAGTTCCTGTGATAAAATTTATCAGATTAGTTTATGCATTGATATTGTATCAAAACAGGCAAGGTGGCACAGGGAATTCCAATAAGTTTTCTATGATTTTATTTATCTGTTTCCTTTTCAATGTGTGTTGTATTCTCTGAATATATCCTGTTTGAGTAGATTAGCCATAGGCTAGTTTATTGCAAAGATGAGAGAGTTAAATTGCTTCTTACATGATAATAGTAACATTAACGATCAAGAAAAGCCATATCCAAATTCAAAGCTTTCTACAATATCATCTGTACCCCCTTTTAATTGTTTGTTGTAGGAAAAAATATGGACAGACCCTGAACTTTCATACACAAGTATATGTGAATTATGCTTGTTATTCATTTCTATTCTTTGTAAATCTACACAAGAAAAACTAAGCCATATTTTACAGGGTCATCCTACCCTCTTTATACTGTTATTATTGGGGTCCTGCTTGCTTTAAAGCTACAACAAAATATGCCTCTTAATAACTGATATATAAATATAAAGTAGTGCTAATTATTATGTGTATTTGAAACATAGCAGTATGTCAGCGTCTGTGCACAAAAACACAATAAACCTATTTTTTAAACCCTTTGTATCTTTAAAAGCACACAGAACACCATCACCAAACTTCATAGTCTGTTTAAGCATAATGTCAACTCGATTCATGTCAAATTTCATTATGATCTGTTTGGACCTATTTTGGCTATTTATACTTAAAGAATGCAATGTTTGCAAAAAAATTTTAACCAACTATTTCAATTTAAGTCAGCTGTAGAATGATAACTGTGAGGTTTACAGAATTTTGCATGTGATATTTGGAATCTCCATAGCAAGTTCCATCAGATTGCATAATTTCAACAGGATCTTAAGTATAGTACTTGATAGCAGACCATTATTCTACAGCCATTTCTTGTAAAAAATGGGCGGTGGCTTTCTTCGCATAAGGGTGTGGTCATCAATATGTAACATCTCATAACTCGGAAACAATACAAGGTACTAAGCTGAAATTTTCTGTGTATTTTCAAACTATAAAAGGGACTACCTGACCAAAGTTATGAATCAATCTGAGTACATGGGTGTCATAGCTGTGTTGATTTGACATGGAATACCCCGGCATGGAGTTAATATAAAAGACCCTTGATTTATTATGTCGAACAATTGACAGACCGCAGATGAATATTAACAAAACTAGGCTCTCCAGGTTCTTGCGTTTCTTAGGACAAGTATGAACGTGTTTTCATAAACCATCCCTAACATCGCTGACTTTCCCGTCAAATAGAAATGAGTTCTACTTAAAAAATCATGTCACTGACGTCCACGATTTTTATGATTTTTAATACGACAAGTGTGAACTTTTAGCACTTTTCTGCCAATTTTATCTTTCCAACGTACTTCGATGACTCGGAGTTAAACTTTGTGGCTAGAAAAGTACGTTTTAGAATTTAGCATGGCCCGACTAAAGGCTCTTTCAATGTTGAAATCGAATAGACTGAATGAAACCCGGGGGTCCTTTGCATTGCAATATTGCAATACCTTGACATGGTCTATGATATATTTCTAATTCCTCAGAAATGTCAATCTGTTTTCCTAACTTGCTTCCCTCTCCTACGTTTCTTCAACAATGAATATCGTTGATCTCCAAAGGTTCTAGCGTAAAGCACGTTTGTGCAGGACTGTGTCCATAACACTAAAGGACTGTGTCCATAACACTACGCTGCTTAAAACACTGGTTAGAATTTACGCAAGAGCTACGTCTAGTATTTACCACCTCGGTTTTTAATTGCAATTACAACACGTGCTTTTAGGAATTTCGCTTATGAACTGATCCATGCAGATACGAATCCTAGGATATCAACAAAAGCCTTCACTTACTTACTTCTTTTCATCTTGAACATTTCACAAGATGCAAACATGTCATACCAAATGAGTCTTGGATGGAGGTTCTCCAGTCATTACCTAAGTATTTTATGCTTGTTTTAGACAAACATCAATGAGCTTCTTGTCAAAGAAAAGTACGCAGTTTTTGAAGACCCGGGCCAAGGTGAGTCAAAAGCAATTTTCACTGCTCTTCCTTTTTGTTTGTTTGTTTCAAAAAAGTTCTCCTTAAGATAGACAGACAAATTTGAAAAGTGCGATCATAATCTTTAAGAAAATTCTTGATGAGAAAAGTACTATCGAAGCAGGTGATAATTCTTTTCGACTTGGCAAATTGCATGCAGTAATGGCTGAAAAATGGAAAGATACAGTGCTCATTTCGTAAGGTTAATCGATGTACCTTTAGGTCAACTTTTCAGATTTGCGTTAAATGTCCTTCTGCTATTTTGAAATTGCCTTCTTATGGGGGCTGTTTGGCCTCGTTCCCTACACAAATTCGCGTTATTGAGTCAAATTTGTCGAATGCAGCTTAAGATTTGCTTTGTAAAACGTACCACCAAGATGACTTTTTGCAGCCCTACCATTAAAAGGAAAGGATTTTTGGCGATATGAGACTCTTTTTGAGTGTCTCATACCGATGTAAGATATACAGCGTGCCTAGGGCTGTTCACTTTCATTTCAATTTGCTGTCATTTTGTTGACATTCAACTCAATTGGATTTGATATACTAATTGTTTTCAATGAGATGGTTTTATTTCCCAAAGAAATACAGGAAAAGCTCCATAACAGATTATTTTATCTCTTCTTAAAGGAAAGCAATTTCCACAGAACGGTAGCGATGACGCTGCCAGCACAATCAGTGGTGATATGAGTGTAAATTCCGACAATGAGTCGACAAAGATGTCTCAGAAAGAGCTAGAAAGGATGCTGGAACGAAAGAGAATTGCAATGAAACGATTTAATCTTGGAATCGACTCAGCATTAGATGAGTACAGGGAAGCCTTTGGCCGCCCACCTCCTGCTACAGTTGAAGACAAAGCTGATTCTCCGCTTGGAGGGACAAATGGAATGAGTGCACCGGAAAATGGAATGGCCCAACAAAAGCATCCAAGCAGCCTGTCGCATACAAAGAGTTTGGATAAAGGCGGGGCCAAAAAGACGCCCAGAATGGTTCCAGCCAATTGCAGTGATGGAGTTAACATAGATGATGATTCGTCGCATGTAGACGATATGTTTTTAGCTGTAAATCGCAGTGCAGAATCCAGAAGACTGCTTGATACTTTACTAGGTAAACAACGCATCGAAGATGAGCCGCCAGGTCTGCAGGAAATTCAACCTGAAGATAAAGAAGATGCTCCTATGTTAAAGTTGGGTAAGAAAGACGAAAAGTCTGTTAGGCCGGTACCAAATGGAAAAAGTACAGGGGAAGGTGGTGCCACTAAAGGGAGTTTGATATGGTCCAGAATCAAAGCTCAGGATGGAGATGCTGATATATCTTCACTTACCGATACGGACACTGACAATGAGCGCGAAAAGAGAAGATCCCGCTCACGTGATAATGCTGGTTACACGAGTGACAGCTCCTATGCTTCCGCAGAGCGTATTCTGGAAACTCTTTCTCAGGATAGAGATGTAAGCTCAAAACATGGAAGCACGCCTTTTAAAGCTATTCGCTACGAGAATGAGTGTCATAAGCAACATTTTAAAAACAAAGGCGACGATAACTCGTTTAGAATTTCTGCTGACTCGTTGGATCTCCTGAAAGCCTTAGGAGGTAGCTCAGCTGCAAAAGTTGCAGAGACGTTGCCGAGATCGTTTGAAGATGTCTTGGTATCAGGAGACAGCAGGCCAAAATGCTCGCTGTCGTTTGAGGAACTGGGGATTCCCTCGTGGCTGAGATTTTCGCTAAGGGACAAAGAAACTAAGACTGTTTTCACTAAACCAACAGTCTTGCAATCTTACGTTTGGCCAGCAACAATGAGAGGAAGACATGTTGTCGGTATTGACAGGGCAAAAAGTGGGAAAACCCTTGGATATCTGGTGCCAATCTTAAAGCAAGTCATTGAGACACCACTCATTTACAAGAATCTTCCAAAGGAAACCGGGGTATTTATCACTTTTTCGAATCCAATTTTACAAACAATTATGTAACTTGGGCTGGTTTTGAACATAATTCTTAAACTTTTGCTAGTGGATTCTTGGATTTGATGCTCTAGGCTTTTATCTTTAATTTTCTTATGACATAATTCCAATACAGGTGGAATTAGGTTTAATAAGAACTTTCTAAGGACTATTACCAGTATTTTATGTTGTGTCCCCAAGTTCTCTGCTCCTTCTCATTCTATGATTATCACATAACACAATCAAGTAGCTAGCGTCGACCTTTAATATTAGTGATGAACTAAACATTAAGTCAGGAACCAAGGAGAAATATTCTAGAGTCAAAACAAGTTTCCATTTCTACTTGTAGGAAAACTCTATGATTGTAGTTTTCAAGGCCTAAGTTTCCGTCAACGAAACTTTCTTGGAGATCATATCAAACATTTTTATTATTCCATGCAAAACCGAGCTAAACCCAAACATGCCATTTGGGCTCTCCGGTCCCGAGCAGCTCGAGGGGACCCAATATGAAGGGTACTAACTGCATCACAGCCTTGACATTAGAAGCTCGATCAGGTCACTTTTTTGGTCAGTGGCACAATAGAGTCTCCTTTTGATAGCTGCCTCCTTCAGGGGCGGTAGATCATCTGTTAAACCAGGGTTGACTTTCATTGTGGTTACGACTCCACTGTTTTTATTTCAGGTCATCTGTAATTTTATTTTGTTTTCTGCATTTCTCTTAATTTTCTTGATTGATATCTGTTTAAACGTCCACCCCTGCGTTTAGATATATCAATTTTAATGCTTTGTTAATTTTATTAAGGTTGCCGTGTCTTTTATAGAATATTATTGTGAAAAATTTGTTTGTAGACAAATTGTTCATAGGCCGTGTTCCGACCCAAACTTGAGATCAGCAATGTAGTGAAGTTCGACACCTGTGTAGAACAAAAGTTTGATTTTTTTAATGGATTTGACCTTGATCGTTGGCTTGCGGCAAAAACCTTTCGATAATTTTAGTTCATTGTTGGTTCACCTTGCAAATTAAGGCTGGCCTAAAACAGCTTGTTTGTCATGTATTAACCATTTGTTCTTGTCTAGAACGTTTCGCAGAAAACTACTGCAAGCATCAAGTGTGAACTGAACGAATAAGCCCAGTTAGGTTAAGATTTATTAATATATTTAAATGTTTTTACTGTTTCTCTGCAGTTTTAGAACATTCATAATCGTCATAAGGAGCATTGGTAATGAAGAACAAAAATTTAGACTATGTTTTCGATTATGGTGATAAGCATGGACTTTGTGAAATGAAAACTGAATAAGTTCCAAATCCTCAGAGTTGATCGAATTCGTATTTCCTCAAAGTTGTTTCTCTTGTTGTAGATTCATATAAAAACAACGTTCGTGTCAGTGCATTAAAATGCATGCTGATAAAGATCATTTTTCTTCTTAGCCTATTGTCCTCATTTTGACAACTGACTGGAACGAGGCAAGGAACATTCATAGCACTTGCGAAAAGATAGTATACACACACCGCAAAAATTACAGGGCGAAAATTTTGTATGGAGGCCGTGGAAAAATGGAAGAGGAAATGGTGGATTTGATAAACGGCTGTGAGATACTAGTTGCTACTATACCATCCCTTTTAAACATGCTTGAAAAGCACTGCACGAGTCTTGTGAGACTGTGCCATCTTGTATTTGATGACGTCAACGTTCTAGTTGAAATGTTTGCCGAAGAAATCAAGGTTCTTATGAGGCAATACGCAGATTCCTTGAGTAAAACGGTCGCTTTAAATCTTCCACATCAGTTGGTTGCCATGGGAACTGAGTGGTCACGTGGCGTAGAGTCACTAGTCAATGCATACTTTGATAACCCACTCATGATTATACCAAACATGATGGAGGCATCAGTCTTCAAGCAGGTTAAGCAGCATGTTGAGATTTGTCCTGCAAACCAAAGGATTGACCATTTAGTTAGTAAGTGACATCTTTCTTTCATTTTTTGGCGGTACAAAATTTGAAATTGGCTTGAAAAAAGCAAACATTCTCAAAAATACTGAAGTACTTCGTCTGACACTCTTTGATCATATTTCAATCCACATCGATTGTGAAACATTTCGATGCACAACTATGACCACGAGCAGGGCATTGTCAGGCCCTCATATTTCTATACATATTTCGTAGCTTAGAGTTTTCGATCAATATTCTGGCATTTTATACTCTGAAGAGTGTCAGACGAAAATATTTAATATGTTTAAAATGTTTGCTTTTTTCAAAGTAATTTTTATTTCATTTCTTGTTCCATCAATTTGGCTTTATTCATCATTTGCTAATCAATAACTAATCGAAATTCATTATTAATCTATGTCAATGAATTGTCATGAACATTATTTTAGACTTTGTTTACTGGAAATCATTCAAGCCTTTCTTCCTTGGTGTTTTTTCTCCCATAAGTAATTATTTCCAGACCTGCTTCTCCGTTTTCAGTATTTCTACATTGTCTAATTTTTTTGTCTATTTATATATTAACCTCTGCTAATATTGTTTTCCTAATACTTTCGCAAAGGAGGTCTGCATGGTTGCCTTCATTACATTGTATATAATAAAGCTGAATATTGTACATTATAAACAATTGAAAATTATTTGCATTTTGAATATGATAATGATATCCAGCATTTTCATCGACATTGAATATTGAATAATGTATCTATTGTAGGTTGTGGTTTAATCTAATTTAATTTTTAGTGGATACTGGAATTTGCTAATAAAAAGGTTTTTACTTTGATAGTGTTTTTATTTCTTATTCAATCAATCTGGCTTTATTAATCATTTGTTCCAAAACAACTAATCGAAATTCATTATTCGTCTTTATTAATTGAATTTTCTTCATGAACCTTATTTTAGACCTGGGGGTCATTCAACTCTCTCTTTCCTGGTGTTTTTTCTCCCATAAGTATTTCTATCCAAACCTCCTTCTGTTTTCAATATTTTTATATTGGCTTATTATTTGTCTAATTATATTTATTCTATAAATCATAGTCAATAGAAATACCCTGTATTTCTATTGACTATGTATAAATGTTGTTGTCCTAATGCTTTCGCTAAGGTCTGCTTAGTTGTCTTCATTAAATTGTATACAATAAAGGTGAATATTGTATTTTTAGGACATTGAAAATTATGGTGGTTTTTGATATTAAATACTTGACTTTGACTATTGAATATTAAATACTTGAATACTATCATCGACATTGAATATTAAATACTTGAATTTTCGAATTAAAAAGGTTTTTATTTCATCCGTGATTTACCTTGCCTAACTTCACGACACAAGTAATCAGCAAGTAATATATAGGTGACCATACATAATGATGACACACCAGTGATATTTAACTTGCTGCATGAGACGTTGTCGTGAGTGACGTATTCTCTTTCCCAGGTTTCTTACAAAACAACGGCGCAGATGAAAAGAGTGTTATCTTTGCGAATTCAGCAAAAGAAGTTGATAGTCTAGCAAAGCTTCTTGAGTCTCAATGCATTGCTGTCATCAAGGCCACAGAGTTCATGTCACCCACGTCACTCATGGATGCCGAAGCTAGTTGGAACTTCATTGTCCAATCAGGGGAAACAAAAAACACTGTTTTAGGTACAGTTCTATATTTACCAAAATTTCAGTTTTTCACGATCTATTTTTAGGTTGAGTAACAGCTGTTCTAGTTTCCACGAGTAACGATTTTTCCGCATGAACATTTTTTGGACTTAGGCAGAACTCAATATTTTGCGCACCCGAATACTGAGTCCTTTTCGCACAAGAGTTTAAGCAAGTTCAAACTTGGCACTTTACGATCGAACTTTGCCAAATAACTTGAATTTTCACCTCGGGGTAAAGTCTCAACCCTGTTGAGCGAATTGAACTCACTCCTTTGCTGCTCCTTTTTTCAAGGTCCTCTTAAATGATTTATATGTAAAGTAATAATGATTTATATGTAAAGTAATAATGATTAAAGCAAAGCTAGAAAGGTTGCATAATGATTTACTTTGTCGTCGGTAATGATTTTAATTTTCATTGCTTCCTACAGCTATGACTGATCGTGGAGCTGCTCGCATGTCCGTGAGAAATGCTACGTGTTTGATTAACTACGAATTTCCCACTAAAAAATCAGATTTTGCCAATCGACTTGCCTGTTTGCTTGGAGCCATGAAAGAGAAGGTTGGTTGAGCTATATGTAGTTCTAGCTAACACTTTACAGGTCATGAATTACGCTATTTCATGTTGTATCTCCCAGACAGCTTTAAAAAGGATAAAGGGGGTTACCAAGGGTCAGTGGTACTAGTGCGATCCCCCTCTCCGCTTCTTGCATTCAAAGTAAGGTGCCAAGAATATAAGGAAAAATTGGTATTGCCATCTCTTCTTTTGAAACCAGGCAAGGTGAATGTCATATTCTCTACATTAAGGCTCTCCAACTCAGATGTCATATCAATGTCCCATTTTTTTAAAAATTTATCTCATTTCCTACCCAAACCAAGAGACCTCATCTACATTTTACTTTTTACATTACTTTCATTGGTAAACAGCCATTCCTTCGTATTTGATATTGTAAAAATAATTATCATGAAATTATGACAATTTTAATGCAACATTTGAAATTTGAATACTCGCATATTGTAAAACCAGTTGAATCAGTTAGCGAATAGCAAATACTGCATGTACATTTTTCTCTCATTCTTCTAATGTTTCCCCAATTGCCTAATGGTATTTATAATTATTTTTATGAAGAAATTGTTTATCATAATTTATGATAATTTATAATTCTACTGTCTCCACAGAATGAGAACATGCCTGAGCAATGCAAGGCTTCTTCTTTGATACTGATTACCGAGCAAAATGAATTCTGCACACCCTCAGTTGTGAAATTTCTGACCCGAGCAAGGCAGCCCGTACCAGTCACTTTAAATTCGATTGCAGAAAGCACCACCCAGGTATATGATTTTGAAGTGGAAGTTGGTAATCCACAGTTATGGACTTCTTAAGTTTTACATGACAATATTCTTTTTTCTTAAATTTTTGAATTTTGACCAAAAAAGAACACTACCCAAGTATATGTTTTTGAAGTGAAAGTTGGTCATTCTCAGCACTTGTCATGTAGAGTTATAATCGCTGAATAGAGTCAGTCTGCTGAACAAGGCGTTTCGCTACAACATTTCTGTTAATAGTGTTAATAGTTTTGATTTCCCGCAGATGTCCCGCAGATGACTTTCTAGCGCAGAGTACCCTATTCTGGTTTTGGTAGCGTCATCTTTTATCGGTGATTGCATTCGCTGTTATGAGCTTCCCTTCCTGATTAATTTGAGGATCTAAGGGTTTTTTTATTACGGCTTGCAGGTTTTTTATTACATTCATTACAGTTATTTTTTGTAACTAGCCTCCCCGTTATAAATGCGCCCTACTTCAAACGTGTTTCACTTCCGATTCATTTAGTGCGAGATTTTTTTGATATCGGGTTTTCCCTTTTTTCGTAGCATAAGGAAAAGAGAGCAAAGATATGCTGTATTTGCGATGACCTTAAGTTCTTTGGCAAATGCAGGTATGAATGTTATTAAGCATCGAAGCTTTATTACCATTGTGACTTCAAGCAGGCCTTCCAATATTTTTGTCCCGTCAATGCTTTAGATTTGCGACGATGTTGAATATTAAAATGTCGTGCTCTCTAAATTACATAAATGTACTGGGTACAATATAATAGAAAATAACTATGAATGTAAGTAAATTGTACCAGAAGAAGTAAATAATAAATTATTGAATAACGATGTTTCGACCATAGTCCGTTATACTCTCTGAATAACACTTATATAGATCAAGAATTGAACCAATTTTTTAGTCCACAATCATTTACCCAACACTTATTGTACTTCACAAAAATCCTGCTCATTTCCATAGTGGCTAGACAGAAAAGAACGGGCCGCACGGTTACAATGAATTTTTGGCCTTCCATCACAGTGACAAAACTAGCCTTTCCAAAAAAGAATTATAGTCCAATCATTTTTAGTGTTTCCGACCCCTGACGGTTTTTTAGTACAGTTAAAAACTCATAGCAACATCTTTGCTGCAACTTATAAAAGATAAAAATGTAAATTGCTTAAATGGGCAACGTTGTTGAAGACGATACAATACAAAACAATACAAATTAATTATGCAGGGCAGTAAATCTGAAGCAATTCAGAACAACGATTGGCTTGAAATTTTTTGTAAAGATAACAAATGACAGGCTGGCGCAAACCCTGCCAACGTTTTGATTTTGCTTTCTTAGTACAATCCCCCTATGATTACCCAGCGATGTTCTATAATACTATAATTTGGCTGTTGGTCAGCTTATCTTGTTACTGTCTACATTGCAGAGACCTTCAAAAATGCCAGCAAAGACATACAATTTTTGCTGATTCTGACGAGCCAAAGAATATCCCAAAAAGAGGAGTTGTCAAGGTATTCTTTATGCTTATGTTATTTACCTCGTAGTCATTTCACTTCTGATTTTCTATTTTGCGGCGGAGCAGACACTTTTTTCTCCCAAATATGTTCTGTTTTCATCACTGTATATTATACATGTGTGTCAGCTCTTTTGGGGGTATGGTGTGATAACGAAGTAGTACCGTACCTGTGCAAGGCTACATAGTTTGGTCGCGTTTTTGATATATCTACCTACTTAATAAATTCTAGCATTGGCTTTTCAATATGTCAACTACAGTTAGAGGTTGGTAAAAATATCTAGATTTGTGTACCGTTTAAATGGTTAAAGTAATTATTGTTTTGTCTTGGTTCAGGTCAAAATACTTGATGTTGTGCATGCCAATGTTTACTGGGGCAAAATAATGGAGCATCGATTGCCAGTTGGAGCTGATGAGCGCGAAAAATATGACACAAAGGCATACTTTAAACTGGCTTGCGACATGCAGATATACTATGCAATGAAACAGAATCGAAAGAGACATGGAACGTCGCCAGAAGGAGTCCTAGTAGATGATTTATGTGTCATCGAAGCAGAGGAGATATACAAAAGGTATATCGTCTTTTTAGGAACGTCTGAAATTTTTCTGTTTATAGGTAGCCTTAATGCCGATGCTTAGAAACTATAATCACTTTAGAATATTATTGCACTTATTTATGCCTAGAATATTTAAGGTTTATTTATTGCTGTCGAAAATCATACCACATTGTCTTTCAGTTCTTCGACTATTGTTATGCCTTGCTTAAGGATGCGAATAAATTACCCTCTTCTAGGCTGCTTATACAGACTCGCTTTGTATTAAATTGTATTTTCTTTTAATGTTAAAACTGTTAATTAGAGAATGTTTTGAGTATCAATGAGACATGAAAATAAATTTTCTCTAAGCTGGGCCAGCGCTTTGTTTTTATCAAAATAGGGACAATAGCCTATTGTTATAAACAAAAGTGTCTTTTGAGCTGGCGGGAAATTGCCCCTTATCTCAAATGTTAGAAATTGTCCCGAGACATTATCTTTCAGAAGTCCTTTAATCTGTAGCCTACCTGCATTTCTGGAATATAAATGACCAACTCTAAGAAATTACTACATTAGGTTCACCTCTTTTATAGGGTGCGTGTTCGGTCAGTTGTGCGACGTAGTGCGCAGACTGGTATAGCCACAGAAGTAAATGTAGGTATATGCTTATTCTCCTTGCTATCTTGGCTTTAGCTATCTGTGCTATCTACGAAGGTATTTTGTCTTTCAATGAGATCAGGAATTATGTTTAAGGTTACGTCTATAATTACTTCATACAGTTAGCAACTTTGAAAAGAACCCAGGCAGGTACGAAAGTTTTTATACCAAGCCTATAATGATGATATGATTTGCTAAATGGTGCAAATGATTTTACATGTATTTTGCAGGCAGCCCTTTAAAGAGATTTGAAGACTATGATATTAAACTAACATAGAACAACAGTACTTGTGTGCATAGTATTCAGAATTTCTTCTTACAGAAAATAAAATTAAACAAAATTAGATAAAACTTATTGAACTTTTTATATATTTATTGTAAATTTATTTTGTATATCTTTCAGGTAAAGTTATGAATTAGCTTTGTTTTTATTTGTTATGTTTTAAATTAAATTGAGGGCCCCTAGTAAACCATTTGAAAATGAAAATAAAAGGACTTTGCATGCTTCAAATGCCAGTTCCCCTCGAGACCTTTGGAAGTGACTTTTTTAATGTGTTCCTTCCAATCCAAGTTGGTATCAATCTCTATGCCAAAATATTTTGTGTTTTTAAACAACTTGTTATCCCGATTCTTAGCTCTAAAAATTAACTTGTTATTTGCATACGCAAAGTGGAAATTTGTAGATCGGTTGAGAGGTAATAAATATTATACCTCGAAAATTGATTTCTTGGTCTTGTCCTTTTACAATAATCATATATAGAGGCAATTCCCTCATTTGCTCGAATTCCTTTCATTATAACCTGATGTGACATGGAATTTTTGCAGGTTTTTGGAATAGACTGTGCATTGTCAAAAGATGTGCCGGTTGAAGAGCTATTATTTTTACCAAGTAACAAGCATTTTTCATTAGAGGAAGTACCAGCTCAGGTGGGTGCAGCACCAAGCATCTGCTGATGCTGTTACTCTAGTTTTGATAAAGCATCTTCTTCTCTTGTTCCTTATTGATTCTCAAATATTTGTTATATACAAATTTTATCTGCTATATCTAGTCTCAGTTTTTGAAATCTGTTTTCGCAGTTAAATTGTTTGAAGTTGTGATCTAGATGAATTGATGTCGTTTATTTTATTCTAAAAAATTATATCCTGTAACAGGCGATCGAACTTGTTGTTTCTGGTGTGAAACCTGTGGACAGCTCTTTTTCTTGGACAATTGAGGTATTAGTTATTTTCATATGTATTTCGTTTACATTTCAATTATATATAGAAGGATCAGAGAGACACAGCTTTCTGTGTGTTTAGACGAAGATTTCTCCAATAGGTGCCTGTAAACAGTTAAACGCTTGCTTATTTGTTACGTTATTCCAGTCGCATGCATGATTATTCTATCGCCCAAAGAATTCACACACCATACACCAGTTTAACTTGCTTTTGGTTCCCCTTGGCAGTCACTTGGCGTAGATGAAAAGATTATTGAGGACGTATAAACAGGCTGAAAAGTTGGTTCGAATAATGTGCCAAAATTTTGAGTGATTTCTTGCAGGCCTGCCTCAAAGTGAACAAGCTAATTTGTGGCAAGACACTCGAAGGAAAGATAGCCTTGGGGTAAGTTTGACTTGGCAAGGACCTTTGTGGTTATGCGAAGAAGAAAATGTGCTGTAAATATTCTATATAGTAATTATTTTCCTCTGCCCGACAATTGTGACGTAAGCAAAGTTTCTAGAATGCGTTTCTCATGTTTGAGGTTTTGTTTAAAGACAGCTGTACTTTTAGGTAGAACTTTCCTTTAAAGTTGTGTAGTTGATAAAAAGAATTTCATGTTTCTTGAACAATTACTTTGCAATCTAATGTTTTGCTTTTCGATGCGTTTAAAGATAAGATTGGCGTTTACTTAGTTATATAACTGCCAATCTGGTTGATAGTTCCTCAAGGATTAAATACAACATTCAGCACAAAAAACATGATGTCACCCTTTTGTTGTTACCGTGCCTTAATCACCACACCTGTTACATTCCGTTTGATCTTTACCAAAGACTTGAGTTTACTAAGATCTTTTGAACTACTTTTTTCGGCTTTTTAAACAATACTTTCTATTCATGTATTTTCAAAAAAGACGACCCTTATTTACCTTGAACCAGATGAGCGAGAGTGCCTTTATGTTGATAAGGAGTAAACTTTCAAAAGCATAAAGTAAACGTACACAACACTCAAAGACCTTGCAATTTCCTGTGTTTGCTACACACATACAAAAGTGCTTTCTTTTTTGCAGCAGCTTTCCTTCAGCTTTCTTTTGATTTTTTCGTTTACCAGGACTTTATATTCCCTATATCTGATCATATTCAAAATCAGAATTGCTTTTCGTTTCTTTCAGGAGTTTCCTTAGCAATACTGTCCTAAGTTTAAAAAACTGTTCCATTTTTCTTAATTCAGATACTTTCAATTAGCAATACTTTTGAGTAAAATCCAATTTGTTTTACTAGTTATCTGATTTCACTCTAGACTGCGAAATACTCTTTGGCTTGATCCATTGGTTGAAAAAACCAAATATGACAGTTTGAATGCCAATGTGGCTAAACTTCATGTTGGTGCAGCTCTTATCGAGTTTGGTTTTGCAGAGAAAAACAGAGCTGTGAGTGGTGCTATTTGCATGCCATGTTTATAAATTCGTGCTAACCTTATAATGTGGATAATTTTCTGTTGTTATCGGTTGTAATAAGCAGAGGTCTTTTTTCCTATGTTGCTTTATAGGTATCGAAATGACAAATGAGATTTCTATTCGATTGGTGAATGTTTTTAGTATGTCCAACGGTATTGTATGTGAAGTCAAGGACTGTCACATGTAACTTTCTCTTTCCTCTTTCGCTACAAATGCATGACCTTTCAATGAACCGCTGTTTCATTTTGCTTTTGCCTAAGTTACCTAAACATGTTGACTTATGTACTATTGTGTGAGCTTTGCCACAACGCTTCGTTGTTTCAGCATGTTTCGAACCTTCGCGAGCTATGCAAAGACAGTTTGCCCTCGGTCGCCAATGCGACCATGGAGAGTGAGAGGCCCAGTAAGCCAGTGACGTCAGACAGCGCCGATTTAGAACACGATCACGTTGAATTGCCTGATAGTGGTTACCAAGATGTCTATGTTGCTGCTGTTGATAACCCAGGCCTCCTCTTTGTTCAGTTATCGCAAAATGTAGACAGGTACGACATTCCATTAGAATGCTACAACTCTTTAGAGTATGATCTTGGAATCAGAATCTTCATGAAGGGGCGTACTGATTGCACGTGTGCACGTGGTACGAAATAATGTTGACGTATTAAAAAGACAAAGCTTTAAAAAGTAAGACACTACAGTACTTTGAGAGCATTTAAGAATGGGTTAGACATTGGAAGTCTTCGCAACTTTTGCACTTACAGGTTATGAAACATGTCCACCTATGGTTTGTTTATTTAACGTGCAGTTGATGAAAGTTATGAATGTCATTTTAGGTTTATTCAAAGAATTTTCCTATGGTCAGAAAGAAAGCTGGATGTAATACCCTTCTCTCATTAGCTATGTTTTCCCCAGTTAATGCTAAGTGTTTTTGTTTCCCAGTTAAGTGTTTCCCACTAAGTGTTTCCCAGTTAATGCTGAGTGTAATGCTAAGTGTTAACGATAAATGGCCAAAAGGCTTTTTCTTATCGCGGTCTAAAACTATGGAACAGTCTAGAAAGAGCTTCTAAATTTGCCCTTTCCCTGAAAACCTTCAAAGAACAGCTATAGTCGGAGACAACTTTTATTTCATCTTTACGTTCTCTTTTTATAGCCTTAGTTTTATATAATATTTTAAATTAGGTTAGGTTAGCAAATTTCTTTTGTTATTAGAATAAGTACTTTTTTTAATCTTTTAAACAGGTCAGGTTGAAAAACATATATATGTATGAACCTTTAACCTGTATAAATATTATAAAATGAAAAAATGAATGAAAAAATAAAGCTTCTTGCATTAAAGGTTTAAATCAACGTTGAATTTATTAATCAATATTTTTGTTCTTGTCTCTATTGCCATTTCCAGGATTATTGTTATACTGCCAGGCCGCTGAGTCGTGAAACTATCGTTAAGAGCACAACCATAACATTATTTTGTAAGCACATGCAACTGTTAATCGTGCTCTTTCTCCGTCTGACGTTCATCGTAGTGTTCTGAGCAACCAAGGGCTTCGATTTTTCACATCTTAAAGTACGCACAAAGAGTTATTTTTGAGATTACGTCATGTCATAATATTTTGCAGGCTTGACAAGCTGGAAGATAAAATTGAAGCTGTGATGAATGTGCTTCCAAAACATGAAGAACCTGATATTAAATCTTTAGGCCGTGGATCAGTTTGTCTCGCAAAGTTCACGATTGATGACAAGTGAGTTTGGATTTTGTTCATTTACTGTACCGCCGGATGAGAATGCTTGGCTGGAATGGTATAATTTTGTAATCTTTTGCGAAAGAAACACTTGAACCCTGGCTGTCCTGTTTGCCCGCAATGCTAATCATTCACAATAGTTAAGAAAGAAACCGTCTACAGTGCAGGGCCGTAAAAAAACCCTTTTTTGGAAGTGGGGTTGCAAAATGGGGACTATAGACAACTTTCCCACAAAATGTACAGAGATAACACTCTCTAGATGAATGCTTTAAGGATGCTTTATTTACATTCACATCGCAATGATATCCTACGTTATCCCCCAAAATGCACTTGGTATTTTTACAATATGAGCGATACTCTATTAGTTTTTGGAGTCCTTGTAACTGCTTAGGCCCTGCTATGTTGCAAAAGCTAGCTTAAATGCAAAGCACCATTATTGAAATGCGTACTTTGTTGTTCAGTCATAAATGTTGACGCAATAGTATGTTTCAATGAACTTGACAATAAAGCTGTCAAATAAATACGAAAATAAACAGCGCTGTGATTGACCAAATGTTTTATATATGTGCAAACGATATCCAAGGCAGTCCAGATTCGCACCTTCCCGCCTTTTGACGAAAATGAATCACGTGCTTGAGTATAGCCCTGTTTACACTACAACATTTAACCTGGGTTGAACCTGGGTTAAAAATTTTGTAATGTAAACCAAACTAACATGATTTTAACCTATGTTAAGCCAGGTTAATTAAGTGTCTTGCGTCATTGTCAAAGCAAAAGTTTTCTAGGACTAAGATGAATGGGTCTTTCCATTTGAAGTAAAATATTTCGAAAATAAGTGAAGCAAAGGCCGAAAGAGGGACACTGTGGGGCGACGACGAAGTCATGGCGTTAATCGAAATATGGGCCGACAACAGCCAGACTCTAATGTAGAAAAAAACGGCCTATGTTCGAGAAGATTGCAAGAAGACTGCAAAGGGAAGGTAAATACATTCGTACCACAGTGAATTCATTCCCCACAAGAAATTCTTATCATTGCCCTCCGCCATTTTCAAAGTAGCCAATATGTGTCATTCCCAGCGAGGCGCATGTGTGACGACACTAACCTGGGGTTAACCCAATTTGCGTTTACACTGAACTTCGTTGTCAGTGCAGTGTAAACGAAAGTGGTTTCAACCTGGGCTCAATCCAGGTTAAGGTTACCACACTTAAGACAACCCTGTTGTTATGTAAACAAGGCTTAAGTCATTGACATAGCAATGGGAGTATCCGGTAAAGCTATGAAACCTATCTACTGATGTGATTTCGCTTGTAAGTTATCTGACACTTCGTGTTTTAATTCTCAGGTGGTATCGTGCACGTGTGTTGGAAATTAACGAAGATAATGAGTATCACGTGTTCTATGTTGATCACGGTGATCGAGAGTGGATTCCATCTTCAAGGTTATGGAAAGCATGGCCGGAAATTTTGGAGGTAGACTGTTTCCCTGTCGTTGCACAGTTAAAAAACAATCGACAGATACTTAACTGGCTTAAGCCATCTCTCAATTGATATTTAACAATCGTTTAGCGTGTGAGTGGTGTCGAGCTCACTGTTTGGAAGATTGACAGATGGCTCAAACAACTCAAGTATCTGTCGACTGCCTTTGATATCCTTTTGGATCCTTTTCTATCACTAAACGTAATAAAAGATCTCCCTGTCTGCAAAATAATTACGTAATTTTGTCTTGCAGCTGCCTTTCCAAGCGGTCGAATGTTCGCTTGTGCAAATTTCTCCGAAAGGTAACTGTTTCCTATTTAAACTCAACTCTGTTGTTATCGGGCAAAGGAAAGTATAGAGCTCCGCTACGAATGCGAATAGTTGTTTAATTGAAATTATTCTAGTAGTGAACATGTGTGTCCTAAGAGGAGTCTTTCCTTGAAACCTTCCACCTGTACATATTTGTCTTAATGGTCATTTATTTTGGCACAAAAACGGAATTGAATGTTGTCAGGTTGAACAGTATTGGCTAAAGGGGGGAGGGCGGGGAGAGAAGGGCTTGGTGAATCACAGGCTGATAGCTACAACCCTTGCAAGCATGCAGATTTGCTATCCCAGACTTAAACTACCTTATCGATATATCTCTGTTACTTACAATCCTTCCAGCTATTTTCTTCGTATAATGGTGATTTCTTTTCACGTTCTGACTTATGCTTTTACTTTTTACTTTGTCAGGTTTTTACTTTTCCTGCAAAAGTTTGATACTTTTCAACATTGTAACTGAAGAATGAAAGTTGACCGTTGTTTTTTCTTTTGGAGTTGACTGGCTAGCTTAACTAATAATTTGATCACCTGGTTTTTCTATATTTCTTGCTTTTCTTTATGAAATTGCTTCTTGCTACAGGGTCTGAATGGACAACTGAAGATGGTGATTGCTTATGGGATCTATGCCAAAATAAGCTTCTGGTTGCTCAGGTAAATTTTTTCAAATAGTTCTTGCGGATGCTTCGACATTTTCGATACGTAAATTTGTTAATTTTAACAATACAGTAAGGGTCTTCATTGTATTTAAAAGCTGTTAAATGAAGAGAGTCGGGAAATATTGCCATGGATATCAAGATATCCAGGTCATAAGATGCGAATCTTTGTAGGAATAGGAGAATTCAATATCTTGTATCACCAATGGAGAAAAATTTGGACAAAGAAATTTTAGCTCTTCCTGACGTTTGGTAGTTTTGATGATAATTATAAGATTGAAGGATCTGTGCTAACATCTAATGTCCTGAGGTTTTTTCAGGTGAAGTCTGAATTTCCTTCGAAATTTGCTGGAGATACTCGATATGAAATTGAGTTGCATGATACTACTGGTGAAGTGACTATCAACATGAGCCACGAGCTCGTTCTTCTAGGCCGAGCACAGGGGTCACAGGATTGTATTCAGGTAATTATTGTTGAGTTCTGCATGATCCCGCCATCCAAGGTTCTTCATTTGGGAGATTGGTTTTTTTGTTGGGGTAAATCGTTAATTTCCCAATCAGGCGTGTTTCGTATGAAATTTATCTACAATAAACTACAGTTATAGGCAGCAAAAAACTAAATTGAAAAGCTGCCAAAAATTTTCAAAAGGCAGACTGTCTGACTATGGTTAATTTTTCTCGTCGTATTGCGGTGTTTCTTATTTGCTACATTTTCGTCGATTTTTCGCCGCAAGAACTCCTTGGAGTCCGTCGAGCAGACTGTTATCGTGACCTTTTCTTTATTCACATATTTACTGACAAACTCGTTGTTTTTAGATGTCTGAAGATGTCCACTGCTGAAACATTGTTCATGTATTCAACTTGTATAACGATCATAGGCACATAGTGTCAAAATATTGGAGCGGTTTGATAAAGCTCAGTATTTTGTTTAAGGCTATCAGTTTCTTGCTGTCGATAAGGCCATTCTTATTTATGTATCTAAAACGAATCAAAGGTAAATAGGGAGAGCTGGACGCCAAAGTTTGGTATATGTTCTAGAGTTCAGTTCATAATTTTGAACGCTTTCCCGTTCCTTTTAGCGATATTTGCTTCCTGTAGCGTTTCTTCTTCACTCTTGCAGGAAATATTTCCTGATGCTTTGTGGTGCTCTGAGGACCGGCAGTGGGAGGTATGAATGTTGGCTTTTTTTCTATTTTGGCTACGACATCGGTCTCTATACGTCGAAAGTGTCTCACTAAATATAAATTATGGTTTTGACTGCATTGTCAAAGATGATTATATAATGGTCTTAAGGAGGGTCGCTTGGCATAGCCACATTTACAAGTTTTCTTCATTTGTATTGAAAACACGTACCTACATAAAATCATACTTCTTCAAAGTTATTTTCTATTGATTCAATAAAAAATTTTTAGAACGAAGTTGAGTGCCTGCCAGACATTTGTTTGCAGATATACTTATCAGAGGTTTGTTGATTTATTTGTCTTTTTTCTTTCTTTGATTTTGTAACTTGTACCAAAAATGCAACGTGATCCATTGAAGAATAAAAAATTTTTTAAAGTAGCTAAAATGTGGCAGCACTTTGAGCATTTCTGGAACTTACAAAATTGCCTCAGCTCTTGGAATATCCTGTTTCAAATATTTTTTTTTAGAATAGATTTTAATTATGTTGACTTGTTTAGTTAGCTTTTGTGTTATCCATGTTTATAAAGTGCTGCGCAACTTGTGTTGTCAACCTTTAATTGATCTGAAATGGAATGAAACAACAACTGGCTATTGCTTATTTTACGTGATTTCTGTCATCAGTCCGGAGACTGCAAAATACAATAAATAGCTTGTATTTGTTGTTTCATTCCCTTACTCACTTAGATTTCATTCAATACTTTAGAGTTGCAAAAGTTTTGAACCAGTATGCAAAATGGGGGTTCAAAATATTCAAAAATATTTTACGGCTTAGGTCTTGTCACTGCGAGCCGCCATTTTAGCCTATCGTTTCGGCACTTTTTGAACGCTACCTCATTACGTTTCTTAATATAATTTTATAAATAATTTTAATTTATGGAATTATTTTGGATTAAGATTAAATAGACTGCAAAAATTGGGACAATTTGTTGAGCCCTCTCAAGATATGGACTTATAATAACCTGTAATATGAAAAAAGTATGTACATTAAAGCGCAGTTTCGTACTAGACGCAAACTGACTATAAGAGAGGCCTCCATAACAGAAAGCCTTACATTTCATAACTGTTTTTCTAATGTTCATATAAATCAAGAGCTTTACATCAACGCTATAGGCCATGCTGGATAGCCATTTTGATTTCATCGATTGGCTAGCCACTTCATTTATTTATAGTTGGAATATTCTGTTCCCGATGTTTTTAATAAATGATTTACTTTTTCTTATAGATTATTCATTTAATTAAGTTTATGAAGTTAGTCAGTGATGTACAAGTTAATATTTTTTGTGAAGGTACCCCGCGACGTACAAATAAACAATTTACGTCTCTGATTGGTACTGTATTTATGTATAAACATCAATGGCATTCTAGATTTATACAATTTGTTTATTTTTCAAATCAAGTGTGAACTCTGTAAAATATTATTACAAGAGACCTTGGAACTTTATTTGAGATTTTGATACTTATAGGCTGTTCCTGAACAATTGAAGCGAACTAGAGAACTTCAAAGAATCCTTAATGATTTTAAAGGGTATGTTTTTTGTGCTTATTAATACGTAACCTCTTTTAGCACCCGTTTTTTCGGTTTTGTAACATGACATAAGCATGCATGGGTCTAAAAAGTTCTGAGTTGGCTCCTTCAGCTTATCATTTTTTCCAGCTGATACAAAACGTATTTATATCATTATGACAAAACATGCTTTTAGCCTTTCTTGTTTGCAACCCGCATATTCAGTAAGGGTTATTAACAAATCTTACTTGAACGCTTTACCAGATATTAAAGTTTGGGTTGTGGAATATGGCTCTTTGCCAACAGAGGAGGAATTCGCCCAATGTAACAGAGAAGATAACGGGATGAATTGTGTCTTAAAAGTAGGCTAAAATGTATTATACGAAAGCTACCCTACATTTTTGTGAAGTTTCTGTCTCTAGATGCCAATTTTGTACGTGTCTGCGTAGACATTTAAACTAAATGCCAGTCTAACCATTTTAACCAGCCCCCACACAAGGTTATTACTATGTTGGTTGGAAGCATCTCTTTGCCATCCACCAGAAACTGTACAGATAGACTACCAAGGCCTCTTTGACAGCCTGTATTTCTCTCGACGGTGAGGTACCTAGTCCCGAAACAAGAATCTTCACCCAGTACCGGAATAGACCTTCTACCCTTTTAGCCAATCATTTATTCCGAGCTAGTTCTTTTATTTTATTCATGTTTTTATGAACACAGTTTTTGATACAAGCGGTCTTTGTGACAGAAGCCAGGGTGTTGCTTGCAAACATTTATTAGAGGTTTGGGCATTGAAGTTTCTTTGCTAACGAATATGCTTTTCAAAATTTTAATTACAGGGAGACGAGTCTTCTAAACAGTGGTGTAAAGTCGATGTTAAGGTTACTGGCCATGACCAAAGAGCCTGAAATCAAAACCTTGTTGATTGACAGTCTGTTGATGATGATAAGAAAAGATGAAAGGTAGGGTTATTTCTTCATTTTCAGCAATAGACAGTAGATTGCCGCTACTTGAACTGTTCTTTTGGGTGTGTCTTTTATATATTTCTATTCATTTGCTACTTATTTGCAGCCTCGCCAATTATGGTCAGTGGTGATACTTGCCCCTGCGTTCTCATTTTTGTCCGCGCTCGTTTACGTCACAGTGTACGAATTGTCCCTTTGTGCTAAATCCCTCATCTGTAGATATTCCTTAAAAGACTTCGCTCCTGGTGGCGAAAACCACGATCTTAACTCACAAAACTGTTTTCGTCACTTGACTGTTTTTGTCTAGTATTGCAGTCCGGCACTAAAAGTTAGTAGTTAAGTGTCCATGAAAGGAGACATTAACAATTCCGCCTACTAACGATAATGCTAACAGGAAAAAATCTCCTTAGATTTCAAATTTTAGAACGAAATTAATGTGATGTGAATATCTCCCTGATAAAAAGATAAATCTCGGTTACAGTTTTTGTTTCAATAGAATTTAAGACTTGCTTCAAGCTTAATCAACATTTCTCTCAGTCTAAATTCCTTAACTTAAGAGAAAATCAGCCCCGCGCATTTACTGTTAGTTAAATCTCCATTTACCATTGCAATGCTAGTTTAAATTAATGCTGCACTAGTGAATAAGGCTTCAATAAGAAACTGAGGTATAAGTTTAGTTTGAGCATAACTCAAGCAAAGTTTTGAGACATTATTGTCTAAATCTGTGTCATTATTAAAGGCTATGCTTGGAAATCCGACGTGTCGGTGGACTACAAATCATTTGCTCGATGCTATCTGAGGTAAGTTCCTTCTCTTTTATATGGTTTTAAACATCTGACTCCTTCAAACCAAGCAACACCTTTAAATCAAGCAAATAAGGTTTGGATCACCTTTTGACAACTTGTCCATTTTTCCTTGTGTTATGAAACTTTCCTTGATATCAAGTGTGTATAACATTTAAAGCTAATGTTGGAGGAATAACAGTAAAGGAATAATAGAAAGCAGAAAAAGTAACTCTTGTAGTTACTACTTTTAACATAGATTTCAAATCGCAAGGAAAATCTTGCGTGGTAGCTGATTATGAGGTGAAAGATTGAATTTTCGTGGCACAGAGTATTTTTGTTACTCTTGATGCAGTATCACCCGCGTACAGTATACAGTAAATAGCCACGTACAAGGGCCTAGTGGATTGAGAAACGTCTGGCTGAAATTATGAATTCATACCCCACTTTTATAAAAACACCTCTAGCCTGAAATCTGAAGTAGGTTCTGGTTTTTAGAGATAACCAAGTTATATTAATTACTCTAGTTGCTTAGTCCTTCAGCTGTTATAAATGCTTTAAAATATAAATGCAGTATGGAATACTCTGTTCAATATTTCAATATTTTTCAATTCAGGAATAAAGTCTTTGGTGGACTCCTTTTTACTCAACTTTCCCAACAACTTCTGCAGATAGTAGGGATTTCCACTAATAAGTTTGTAATCCACTGGAATGCTTGAAGTTTGAATTAATACAAAATAGATTTATGAAAGCCCTGCATCAAATAAGAACCAATTCCTATTAGTAAGGACCTTAATTCCTATTATTTCCTATTAAATATCCAATGTATAAGAACCTAGTCAGGCTGACTTGCAAATTTGTAGGTTCTTATATTCGGGTGTTAACTGTACGTGTTTTGACGAAAATATGGAAAAGCCTATTTCTTCATTACCACAATTCCGCCTTTAGTTTGAAATAAGCCTTTTGATTTCAGGAACCAGTTGCGGAAAAAACAATCACAGTTTTAAAGTTCTATGCTACAGATAAGAGGCAATTAAGTTTGTTTTTGTATTCTAAGCAATAGCTTCGTTTTAATTACTGGTATCCATGTTGACAATGTGAATGTTATTGTTCCAAACTGGTATGACCCATTGGACCGCTATGAATCCAGGGTCATAGAAAAATGAATTTGGGGCTTCTATAATTGTCTGGGTCTTAGATATAATATTGATTCTGGTTTCATGTGGGCAGGGCTTTGATTTAACATGTGATCAAGTAGAATTATTTATAATGGCAGTTTATGGTATTATTTGATGGTTCAGGGGGTTTGTTATATGCAAACGGCCTTAGCTATTATCAGATACCAGTTTCCCCTTGGCCTTGATATTTGTGCCGTCTTTGTTTGTTGAAAAAGATTCATGATATTTCTTCTAATTTCTTATTTATCGTTATGCAACCACAGGATTTCGAAGATTTCGAGTCCTTTCAAAAAATTGGGCTTGATTCATAGCAGGGCTTGATTTATGCAAAAAATTTAATAAAGATGGGCTTTATTCTACCCTCATTATCCCGTGAGTCAAGGTCAATTGTGACCATAGCTTTGGGTTGTTTTAAGGTCAGGTTGTTTTAAGAGCTGCATTTTGGTGTCAGCATTGTAGAATTGTTTCAATTTATGCAAAGGTTTTCGTCACCAAGAGACGGTCTATCGCAATTGAAACTTTGGTGTGACTAACTGTGATAAAATACAACAAAGAGGCATCAGTCAGGCTTTTCCCTTCGAAATAATTTTATTATGACCAACTATTATGATTTATTCCTGCTGGCTTATGCGAATGACGATAAGTCAAACACATAGTTTTATGCCAAAAAGCTTTTTTGCTGTGGGCTTCAAAACTATTGATCTTTGTCGAAAGTATGCATGGTTGCTCAGTTTGAATCAGTCTTTTGTAGGAATATTTCCAATTGTTTACTGGTTAAATAGTTACGTTCTGGAATTATAAGTAGCAGGGTTTTTTACATAAGAGCAAACCCAGCTTGATTTTCGAATTTCTCATCAAAGAATCTTTTTAAATATATATTTGCGTTAATTGCTCTCTCTACGCATTAAGCATGTCTGCCCAGAATGTTAGCCTCCTGTTTTAAACTTACTTTGTTGAATAGGTGAATAGGCCTTTTCTCGTGATTTTGAGATTTTCGTGTGAAGTCTGTTAGTGCATAATCATGTGTGAATTCTTTTTGGTTGTTTAGGATCAATATATATTTCTAATCTGTCATCCATCGTTAATGTGTAGATTGTTAGAGCTTTTGGTAATATTCCTTTTCATTTTTGATTAAAAGTCTCTGTTTTGTCTCATTTCAGTAAAACGTCTCAAAGTCTGCTTAATCTGTATGTAAATATTTCTAATTTACTCAGTGAAGCTGTGAAAATATGCGGTTTTTGTAAGGTGTATACAATTTTTTAACTTTTATTTCGTTTGATCCAGTCACTAATGAGACTCTTATGCGCAGAGACCAAGATTTGATAAACCAATATGGCGGACTAAAAGCAATTTGCAATGTTTTAAAGGAAAACCCTTGCAATGAGGTGATTAATGCTTTTTGTACTTTTAGACTAGTTATGATAAAAGTATGTGAATCAGAAGCAAATATATTGTCGGGCAAATCAGCAGCGTACGTTTTTGCTATGATTCCATGAATGTATGCTAAGTGAACATATTGTTACCCTGGGTGCCAGAGCCTGAGAGAGTCAAAGGATGAAGAACGGGTAAAGGAATTGCGAAGGAGAATGGAAGAGGAAAGGGGAGAGACGAGGCTCTGGATCCATCACTCAACAACCTCCTTCTCGCTTACAACGTAGGTAATTTGGAATCACTTGTTGAACGATGGATCCAGAGCCTCGTCTCTCCACTTTCCTCTTCCAGTCTCCTTCGCAATTCCTTTCCCCGTTCTTCGTCGTCTGACTCTCTGAGGCTCTGGCACCCAGGGTAACGTATTGTATGACACCCAAATCATTCACCGAATTTATGATACAAGACTTAAATTGGAAATAATCAATGCTTGTGCTTGACGAAGATTCAAGTTTGATTTAATCTATTAGACCTGTAAATCACCAGTAATTTCTTTATCCTTCTCTCATTCTGCATTAAGACTGACGATAAGCTATTCTAGTACATCAGCTAAATACGTAGTAAAAGTTTCCGGGAATTGTATTGATGCCTGGCACTTTGATTGACAATGTTATAGCAATGCTCGTCATGTGTCTATCTAAAAAATCTTAATATGGTAGCACTACTGATGCTTCGAGAAAGGAGTTGGTATTTTTCATTGCTGCTCCTTCACAGCAGATGTTCGGAAGAGAAGCACGAGAACCTAACTCAAAACGAAGTCCTGTAGCAAGTCAAATTAGACTATTTATGGTGTCATTTTTTAGGTTGCCGTCGTTGCTTTGGAATGTCTGTGCGCTTTGTGCGAAGAAAATGACCAGTAAGTAGAAATTGTTTTTTGTTTTGTCCATTTTATTTGTCTATTTGAATGTAAACAGCACTAAAGCAAATGCCCCTTCGTTTGGGCCAAATTGAAAATAAGGAGCTAGGATAGCTTTAATGTGAAGGGGACCAATGTTTTTATAATATTGCTGGGAGGATAGCTCAGTGGCTAGAGGCTCTAACTACAGATCTAAGGACCTGTTGTTCGAGTCCCTGGTATGGCCAAACTTTCGCCAAAAGTGAGGAGAATGCTCTCTGTATTTTATAATGTAGGAATCAAGGGGTGCGTCACACCGAAAGGAAGGACCAGGACACTGCTCGATAAGCACAACTTTATGATATTCAAACTGAAACTGAACTGAAAAGTGAAGCAACTCATTCTCCTAAAAACTACTTTCGAGTGCTAGGTATCAAATACAAATAGTACTGCCGAGGGATGTAACGGGAAGTGCATGCGTAAAATTTTATCTTTGTCTCATTGTCTATTAAAATAGAATTTGATTTTGCAGGAACTGCCAACAGTGTTTTGAACATGGTGTCCTTGGAACATTAATCTCGTTTTTACAAACTCCTAAAGAGGGAACAAATCTGGATCAATGTACCTATGCGTTATCGGTCCTCGCAAAATGTTCAAAGTAAGAGCTTGTTGCCGTTATTAAACTTCTTTCTTTGTGTACAATCCGTAATGAATGGGAATTAACTAGAATTTGGCATGGCGTAAAGTAAAGTCTTGCCTTTTGTTTGATAAATCAGATCTTTCTAATTTTGAAGATATAATACTGAGGGATATTTCCACCTTATTCTAAAGTATGACACAAACTCTATTGGAAAGATGATTTTTCACTGTTGGCTTGTGTTATGGAATCACAGTCTGGTTCTGAGACTTCTTATGTGTAATTGATACAGAAATCAATATCATATCAATATTTCTTACAGTACCATTTAAGGCACTGTTGGCCGTCAGTTGATTTGTTCATGCTAACAAGAGGCTCTGCAGCCCGTGTAGAATATCTGAATTGGAAACCGTTAACCACGAATCACCAAAAAGACGTTAGGCAACAGTTTGTATACATTTCGTTCCTTCCCGTCATGCCACTCGTACAAGTTTCGATTGATCTCTTCTTCGTTTATTTGGATTTAGTCTTAGTCCCCGTTTTCTTGCCCCCTGTTGTTGTTCTGTTCAGCTTTATTGCTTTCAGAACATCCAATAAATCAGGCATTGATCGGGAAGTATAGCCATAGCCTATAGCATAGTTTCCTTTCAGTGATGGTTTAGGACAGGTGATCACCTAAAGTCATCGGGACATTGCGCCTTTATCACTTTCACATTTCATTTTACAGAGTGCGAGAGAATCTTTTGCAGCAAGGAGTTTTAGATGTTCTCGGTGATTTACTTACGAAGACTCTAAACAGGAAGGTAAAAATACTGGTGATTGTTATTGTCAAATAAAGGAGAGAGGTAGATAGGAAGGGAAGCTAGGAGGGAACGTCGAAGAGGAGGATTGAGAGGAGGGTAGGGAAGGAGGGAAGGGAAAGGAGAAAATGAACGGAAGGGAACGAGTGGAAGGTAACGAACGAAAGGGAAGGGAAGGTCGAAGAGGAGGATGGAGGGGAGGGTAGGGAAGGAAGGAAGAAAAAGGAATGGAATGAACGGAAGGGAACGAGTGGAAGGGAAGGAAAGGGAAGGGAAGGTCAAAAGGAGGATGGAGGGGAGGGTAGGAAAGGAAGGAAGGAAAAGGAAGGGAATGAACGGAAGGGAACGAGTGGAAGGGAACGAACGAAAGGGAAGGGAAGGTCGAAGAGGAGGATGGAGGGGAGGGTAGGGAAGGAAGGAAGGAAGGAAAAGGAAGGGAATGAACGGAAGGGAACGAGTGGAAGGGAACGAAAGGGAAGGGAAGGTCGAAAGGAGGATGGAGGGGAGGGTAGGGAAGGAGGGAACGGAAGGGAACGAACAAAAGGGAGGGGAAATGAAAGAAAGGGAGGGAGGGAGGGATGTTATGACACTCTTGTTAAGCACAGTACCTTTTTAAGGACCATGTTTCTGAACGTTTTTATTCTTGTTTTATATCACCTGTAGTTGTAGCAAAATCAAATGTTACAAGATCATGTGTAGACTTTAGGTCACCAAATTTTGCCGAGAGGTTTTTCGTCATTACTTTTAAAATCAATTCGTTGTACCTGGCTTTCTGTTTGTTTTCTGCCCTAAGAATCACAAGCTCCTTCCCAGCCCAATTTTTCTAGTTAGTACTACTGACGTGTGAACAAGCGCAGTAATATTTGTTACCGTCTGTAAATAATTTCAAGCACTTCAAATGTTATTTACATTGTTTATGTCTCCATTGGCAAATGCTGAAATTATTGTGTTAACATATACCCAGAAATGATAATTTTATATATTAGGGCTTTTCATGTGTGTTGAATTATAGAGTCATTACCGTGTTCTTCAAATATTTCTTTCAAGTGCTTGTTGAACGTGCTGGAGACGATGAGAACGGCTGTAAACAACAACCAGATGGTGCGAGAGCATCTACGAAAGTCCAAAATAAGGCTGAAGATCGAGAGGTGAGAGTTTATAACTCTTGCAGGGTCTACCAAATTTCCACTGCTTTCTTATTTAAAATTGAAGTCTGTAACGTGAAAATAATATCAAATTATTAAGACTATTCACGTTTTGATATTCTGTTTATATTTACATTTTAGATTCCTTTAACTGACATTTTAATGCCTCGAATCTAGGAATACGTTTTCAAATAGAAGAGGAATATTTTCTTCCTGTGTCTACCTTCCATCACTTTGACAAGGATAATCTAAACACAGTCATCTCAAAATGATTTTCAGAATGAACATATTGAGTAGATGGAATAATATATTGTTTCTGTTTGGATTCAAAGCTTTTTTACACGCATTATTTTGGAACTCATCCATGCATCTTTGCTCCGTGTCGTATGAAAAATATTCCACGTG